TCTAAATAAAATGATGTCATGTTACTTTCAGGAAATGCTGGTTCTGGTAAAAGTAAAGCAGCAAAAAAAATAGAAGAATTTCTATGGAAATAGAAAGAAATTAATTCTAAATGGATTCCTATCTTTGTATCACTCCCAACTTTAAAAAATCCAAAATATAATTTATTTGAATAAGCTTTAGAATCTGATAACTATTAATTTGATAAATATTAGCTTAGAGAATTTAAAGATGCTATCTAAAATAAAAAAGAATATATCATTTTAATACTTGATAGTTATGATGAAATGAAATAAGATTGTATCTAATAAAATCTAATTATAACGAATAAGTTAATTAATGATTTGAATATTGATGAAAAATAAAAATAAGTCAAGATAATCATCACAACCAGAAAAGAAATATTAAACACATTGGGTTATTAAACTTGGTTTTATGGGAATAGCATAAGGAGTTTAAAAGAAGTTTAGATCTAGGATTTTGATGAAGGTTAAAAAAGTAATTACTTAATTCAATATGCTGAACTTAGTGTAAAGAGAAAAATAAGAGCAGTATATGATTTCTTGAAATAGATTTCATAATAAAATTTTATTTTAGATGAATTTTTAAGAATATGGTATTATGTCAAGGAGGAAGTTTATCACAGTATTTAAAATTCTCATAAAGGATAATCAGAATATATTTTTGAAAGTTCCTCACGAGAGGAATTAATCAAGAAAATTTTAGAGCATTCTCCATTTAATTATTTAAAGGAGGAATAGATTATTGGGCTCAGGAAAGATTTATCTTCTTTATGGAGTGTTTACAAATTTGAAAAGGCTATCGAAAATGTAGGAATTGCTGATTTATTATCAACTCCCTTCATGTTTGAAATTATTGTTTAAGTCTTACCTAACATGGCAAAACAATAGCAAGGTTCGGTGGATTTAAAAAACAGATTTTTTTAGAGTTATCTTAGTATTATATAGAAATCTAGTTTATCTAAATTTTTATAAGAGAATTACAAAAATAATTTAGATCAAAAAAAAAATAATTAACCAATTTTTGATGGAAAGAGCCAAAAAATTAAATATTTTGAATACCCAGAATTATTAGCAAAAACCACTTAACTTGTAGATTAATTGGAAAGCTTAAAGTTTTTTTAATTTTACTCAATAACCAGCATTCTTAAAATCGATGGCTATAACTTATTAGTTGATAATAAGTCGTTTAGCATCAATGGTCAAGATATAGAATGTATAGTTCAAGCTTTAAAGATGAAAAGGTATACAATATTTGAGTTCTATGAAAGCTTCATTCATTTTTATCATGACTAATAAATTTAAAAGTTGAGAGAGACAGGTAAAATTTCAAATTGGGAAAGTTTTTCAATAGATATTTTATAGTTTTCATCAAATTTAGCAATAGATATGACTAAAAATTAATTATCTTAAATCACATATTAATAAAAAGGAAAATTGAAATTAACAAATAATTATAGCAATTAATATAACAATGATAGATGGCTTGATGATTATTTTAATGATTCATAATAAGAAATTGATTATTATAAATTAATAAGAAGTTGTATCCTCTTAAATGCTAAAGGAAGTATCTATTCCTTTACTCACAAATCTATTTAAGAATTTTATGTTGCTAAATATATAATAGAATTGCTGCTGTATTCTGATTCTTAATTTTTGAATGAGAACAATTTGGATTAGAAATATGTTACCAGATTAATGGAATAGTTATATAATAAATCTGAATTAAACATTTCAAAAGATCATTTTAAAGGAGTATTAACATTTATCAAAGACAAAATAAGTAGTCTAGAAAACATAAAAAGGGTTCTTATTAATATTGTTAAATTATCCAAAAATGAGAAATACAAATACGCTGCTTCAAATAGCATTTTCTTATTATCTTAATTGGATGTTTATTTAGGGTACGAAGATTTTTCAGAAATTTAGTTACTTGATACAAACATTTCAGGTTTAAGTTTTTGTTATGCAAATCTAAGTAAATCTAAATTTACCAATACTAATATTAATTCTTGCAATTTTAATTATGCTAATTTGACAAATGTTGAATGGACAAATGTAAGATGTAAAGAAAAACCATTTTTAAAAGAAGATGAACCAGTTAGACTAGTTGAATTTTCTCCAAATGGTAAATTAATTGCATCAAATGGAAAAGGCAATTTAGTTAGTCTTTGGGATGTGGAAGATTATAAAATCATATAATAATTTAATGATCATCAAGGTAAAATTTTATCAGTTGCCTTTTCACCTGATAGTAAAACTCTAGCTTCAGCTAGTGATGATAAAACTATAAAATTATGGGATATTTAGAATCCAAAAATTAAATCGTTGATTTATACAATAAAATATCATGATTATCCAGTCACAGGAGTCAAATTCACTTTTGATGGAAAAAAAATAGTTTCAGTTGATTCTTCAGGAATGCTGATAATTTGCAATTTGGAAGGTGTCACAGAAAAACCAGATGATATTCTATTTTAGTATGAAAAGAAAATATTGGTTTACACTTTCACATAAGATGATAAATTGATTGCCTTAGGATTAGAAGATTCTAGCATTAAACTAGTTGAAGTAAATACTAAGAATGATAGGATTTTAATAGGTCATACTGGGAAGATTAAGGCCTTAGCTTTTAGTAAGGAAGGAAATATATTAGTATCTGCATGTACAAACTTATTATTATTATGGAATTTAAGAGATCATTGTAAGTGCTCAGTTTTATCGTTTTAAGAATATTAAATCTAATATTTAACCATACCCAATGAAACAGAAATAGTCATTGGAGCAGAAAACTATCTAGCTTATGGAGAATTTTAGTATGATCATTCTGCCTATTTTGCAAAGATATAATATTCCTATCCTGTTTACTTGTTCCCTAATTCTAATTTTGCTGTGATTGTTTAAGTTTAAACAATATTGATCTTAGATCTAAATACTTAAGCAATTATTAATAGTATACATTTTCATGCGAAAATTACCTAAATTTATATTACTAGTAATGAATAGAGATTAATAATAAGAGCAAATGATGTAAGATTTTTGGATTTAAATACTTTCTAAGAAATAATTCTTTGTGAAAGAGAAAAAAATTCTATTTATTATCAGGATTTAATATTTGAATAATGTTAAAATGAAATTATTATTTATGATGATAAGGATCAGTATTTTTAAGAATCAGAAGATTAAGCTTGTATTCTCCAATCAGAAATTGAATATTTTTCATTCCAAGCTAATTATTAAATGATGGCAGTGAAAAACAAGTATTGTCCCTAATCAATATGTTTATATGATTATAAAGAAAAAAAATTAATGGATAATGAAATTACAAAATAAATAAGTATTTAGTCTATGGCTTTTTCCCCTTGCAAGCCTATACTATCTACTTTATTTGGAGATGGAAGTCTATATTTTTGGAAAATTAGCAAAACTCCTTATGAGTGTGAGAAATTCGATGAAATAGATGAAAAAATTGTAATAGAGTAAATCATTTATTCTCCTGATGGTTCATTATTAATTATTTAGACTAATGATTAAAAAATAAGGATTTTAGATGAAATTAACGGATCAGGAATTAAAATACTTGATTAATGTAAGCCATACAGGGGAACTATTTTAGTATCGTATGATAATAATACCTTAGCTTTTAATCAAATATAAAGTAGTGATTAAATTATTCTATGGAACATAAGCAATAATGAAAAAAGTGTTTTGAAAATGGAAGTTTAATATTAATAGCGTTCATCTCTAATAATTCAATTTTGCCCAGATGGAATATCTTTATTGTGTTTATGCAATGAAACATTATGGTTTTGGAATTACATTTCAAGAGAGAAAATTATTAATTATTAACTACCTTATGAAACATATAACAGTCTTAGTTTTTCAAAAAATGGTAATTTATTTGTGACAGGTGGGACTTACATCAGAGTTTGGAAATATTTTGACAATAAAATTGAAATGATTAATGCTTATAAGCCTGATTAAAATGCTTATTTAACTCAAAGTGGAATCAGTTAATTATAGTTAATTGATAATGACCAAAATGTTATGTATCTTATGCAAAGTGACATAAAAATAATTCCTTTATCAAAATGCAAGTTAAAGGGAATAATTCCAACTTCAAAACAATTTGCATAATTTTTAACAAATGGATAGCTTGTTACAAAAGATTATTTTGGTCTATAAATTTTTGATTGGAAGTAGTAGACATTATTATCTAGTATCGATTACAATCCTATGTGTGTACAATTCTTTTAAGATGGTTTACATTGCATAATTTCAAAAGAATCAAACATTATTAAGTAGAATATTTATTCAAAAGTGGAAATCTTTAATATTACTATTTGCGAAGAATGTTAATCTCTCAAGCTAAGTAAAAACGATTAGGTACTAATTTTAGAATGTTAAAATCTTGTTAAAATATTCAATATCTAAGATCCTTAAAACATATATGAGATTTAATCTTATGAAAATAAAGCTTTAACATAATTTTCTTGGACAAGCAACAACGATTATATATGTTACAGGTCAAATTCTGACTTTGTAATTAGAGAAATAAAAATCCAATAAAAAAATAAATTTATGTTTCCAAAGCACAAAATACTTCAAGTAAATACTTTTGATAGTAATCATAAAATGTTTATTCGAAATACTGAGGGTTCAGGTATCTTTGACCTTATTTCTTAAAAATTTGAAGTGTTTTATGAATTATTAAGAGAATCTGTTATTTCTTCTGATGGATATTTAATAGCTTGCAATTATAAATACGATGGATGCGGATAGCAATAAAATTACGACTTTAAATTCTATGATATTAAAAATAATAAAGATTTTCCAGTTTCTACTGATAATAAGATGTTCCCAATAAAATTTTCTAAGAGCTGTGATTTATTGCATTACTATTAAGTTGATAAATAAGCAATAGTAAGTTCTATTGACGAAAATAAACAACTAAAACTTCTCTGTTCTTTCCAGTGTGGATCCAATGTAGATGAAGTATCAGTAACACCTTCATTTAATTATATATTTGTTAAGGAATCAAAGAGGCTTAAATTAATGAATCTGAATTGGATGTCATAAGCCTAAATAGTAAGTATAAATTAATCGAATGAAAAGAGTGAAAATAAACATTCTTTTGTAATATCTTCTGATAATTCATAAATTATTTGTGGATAATCTTCTGATATTTAATTATATAGTTTTAATGGAAATGAAAAACTAGATATTTAGAGAAGTTTTTCTGGAAAAATAAATTGCTTAGCATAAATTGATGTAGATAACATTAGTATTGGTTGTGATAGAAAGATCTATCTGTTTAATTTTAATAAATAAGAGGATATACTACTAGGAGAGCATGATAGCTATGTTACAAGTCTCAGTTACTCATAGAAAATGTCATTACTAGCATCTGGTACTAATGATTAAAAGATATTTTTGTGGAATGTGAATGCTAAAAAGAAAATAGCAGTATTAGAAGGCCATACAGGGGAGATTAATTAATTATCTTTTTCGCCTGATGGATAATGTTTGGCCTCTGCAAGCGATGACTAATAAATTAAATTATGGAATATTGAATTAAGTGAATAATCAAATATATCAAATGGACATTAACTATGTGTTAACTAAATTGCTTTCTCAAATGATGGTCTTATTATTGCATCATGCAGTAGAGACCGCTCAATTATTTTATGGGATTTAATAGAAAAAAATTTTATTATTATGCTCGAAGAACATACTTCAGTTATACTATGTTTAGAATTCTCTTTTTGTTCTAAATGGTTGGCATCATTAAGTAAAGATGGAACAACATGTTTGTGGGATGTTAAATTTCCATAGGAGACTGTTTTATACAATAAAATAAATAATGCTCATCTACATCCAAATTTTTTATGTTTTTCTCCATTAGGATGTTTTGCTACTATTTCAAAAAATACAAACAACATAAAAATTGAAATTTGGAGTTTGAATAAAATAAACAAAAAAAATGAAAAATTTTAAATCTTTTTACCAGAAAAAAATCTTATTAGTTTATCAGATGATGAGGATATTATATTTTTAAGTTCTGATAATCTCGTTTTTGTTCATAATTTATCAACTGACTAAAAAGAAAGTCTTGAAGGACATTAGTCTGAAGTTGTAATTATTAAATCATGGGATTATGGTCGACAATTATTATCAATAGATGATAAAGATAATATGATTATTTGGTAAAAAATAAATAATAGTTGGAAAAAGCAATCACAAATTTTATTAGAACCAGCTACTGTTTAATTTGATATAATTTATAATCAATATCAAAATTACTTTGTATCAATTAATAGTAATGCTATTATCATATCAAATCTTAAGTAAATGTAAGAAAAGTTGCCTTCTATTGATTTAGATATATAATTTGAGAGCAGTTATCTATCAACCAGTTAATAATTATTTATATTAATGGATGCAGATTAAATAACAGTAATCGATAGCTTTTCTAGAGAAATTAAATTTTAAAAAAAGGATCTTAACAACTTAGAACATTCAATTATATCAAATGATGATAGATTTTTAGCTATTTAAGAAAGATATGGATCAAAGATTACTATCATTGACATCTCTTAATAGTAAGAAGATGTGAACTTAGAGATTGAAGAACATCCTAAATCTTTTTAATTTAGCAAGGATGATTCAAATATTCTATATACAGCATCGTTAAGTGGCAATATTATGAAGTGGAACATATAAAATAAATTAAATGAAATTATTGTTAAATTAGAATCTTTCTAATTGGATTATTTTTTATAGTTTTGTAAACCATGCAATTTAATAGGGTATTATAATAATAATACATAACTTTTGTTAATCAATCTCAATAATTAATAACAGTATTCTAAAGAGATTCAAAATTTGAATGGTATTGCAGCAATTTCTTAAAATGAAATTTTAGTAGCTTTGGCTACTAGTGATTATACAATTTAGTTATGGAATTATGAGAAATCAATTACTACAGAAATTACTTTGTTTAAAAAACAACCAACTCAAAATTTATTATTTATAAAAGATGACACTGAACTTGTTTGTAGTTAAAAAGAAACAATTTGTATTTTTTCTGTTTAAGATGATTTTCAATTCAAATTAAAAAATATTTGGTAGATAGAAAGTTGTTACAATTATACTTTCTGTCCTAAAAATTTATCAGTTTTATGTTATAGAGCTTAGAATGGATATAGAATGATCAGTTTTTTGAATCCTGGATAAAGTAAGATTTTAATAGATGAAAAATAACAGCCATTAAAATTTTACTCAACTTATAATGGAGATTATATTGTATAATTAAATTAATAAGGCTTTATCATATGGGACATTTAAAACGAAAAGTAAATATTAAATACAGATTAATGGTCTGGAAATTATGTTATGCTTATAGAATTAAAGACAGTGGTGATAGGAGATCAGCATTACATCAATATTTTAGATATTCGAGAATTACCTAATATAACATTGATTTAGAAGATTTTTTTATAATAACCTATAAGAAGTATTTCGTTTGCTTCAAAATAGCAATATCTTGTTATTGGTTATGATAACAAAATAATTGCATGTGAACTTTTAAAATGTGGAATTTTGTAATAAGTAGCTACATATGATATATAATTTTTTACAAAAGTAGATTTCAACCCTGTTTCAGCAAATCCAGTTATTTCAGCAAATGGGAATTTTTTAGTTTACAAGCAGTATAGGTCGTTCTAATTAATTAGGATTAAATAATTACATACATTAGAGTTAAACGCTAAAAGTGTAATTGGTCTTTAATATTCATCAGATTTCTAAAATTTAATTACACTAATAAATGGACGTCCTACACTGCTTACTCCTGCCTTGGGTATGGTAGAAGCCCAATTAGAAAATGTCATAAAAGATAATGAAGCCAAATCAATTGTATCAGCTTCTGTGGATTCAATATTTGCTATTTTATATGATGCTTTCATATTAATAGTTAAAATTATAGATTAAAAGAAATTGATTGTGATTAGTAGGATATCATCAGAAAGTTTCGAAAATTGTGTTACTATCAGTATCAATCCTTTCGCAACTCAATTAATTGTTGGCAGTGTATCTGGATCAATTTATTTTTGGGATTTAACAAACTCTGATGATGAAGAGTTTAATAAATTTGAAAAACATTTGAAAATAGAAAATTAAAATGATTAAATTTGTTGTTTTACTTTCAGCCCAAATGGAACTGATTTTGCAGCAGGGGTTTTTGATGGATCTATAAATTTATATTCAATTGAACAAATTAAGAATGATTAAAATATAAAACAAAATGATGAAAATTAAGAATAGAGATAAATTTAAGTAGCTGAAAATATTAAAAAAGAATTCAGATTAATTTGTTATAAATCATTTTCCAGATAATCTTTGTTATTAGCCAATTAAAGCATAATAAAAGATTCAAAAATCACTTAAAATGGAAAATCAATTATTTAACTATTCAAATAAAAAGGAGCAAGAGAATGATTAAAATTATTATTAAAAATATATAAAATAATATGTAATTTATATAAATATACATCATAATACTACAGATAATAGCCCATATAATAATTCAAATAAAAATTAATCAATTTCAGTCTAACAACTTTTATCAGATTTAATCTAAATTATAGAATAATGGATACTTCCAACAAAACTTCTATCGAATTCGATTTTTGCGGAAATATTTGATAGAATGATTGCTAATTTTTAACCATTAATTAGATATGACAATAAACCATTGTTTACATTCTATGCAATCAAATTAAGATTTATACTCATTTTATAATTTTAAATTCTGATAGCAAAGATTGCGAAGATTCATTCTTAATGTCTTACAGGATTAAGTCTAAACCAAAATGCATCGAAAGTTTTCAATTTACCTTAACAACATAAAATAATTGTTTTTCTTAATAAGAGGTAACTCCTCTATTAGTTTCTAATTATTCTAATTATATGAATTTCTATCCTATAGTATTTTTATTCCTAAATCCTCTAAGCAGATTTATTACCTGATTAAATTTAACATTCCAAGGTAGATTTGGAAATTTTAGATTCAAACATTTCTACTACCTCTCTTTGAACAAACATTCTATCCTCTCCTTGCTGATAAAGCATTAGCTTGTATTGATTAATGGTGTAACAATCGAGGCATTACCAAATAACATATTATTCTTCTTTATTAAGGAAATTAAAATATTTATCTATTCAATGAAGACACCTTGAAAAAATATGGTAGTTTATTGCTTTATAACCATAATCAATATTTATTTAAGGGATTGTTTATACGAATAATTTATTGATTAAAATAAGCCGGCAATCATCAAAGATTAAGTAGTTTTCTCTAAAATGCTTATTTTCATAATAAAGCTATTTTTCTTTGAGAAAAAAGATATAATTCGTCTAAATTTTAAATAAAGATAGTATTAAGTATTGCAAAATCAAAGAGAATATATTTGGAGCATGAAGAGCAGATTTTTAGATAACAATAAGGCTTAGTAATTAAGTTTAAGTCTTAAAGCTGTATCCAACTATTCATAAAATCTGAGTTATAAGGTATAGAAAATAAAAATTGTACATACTTCTTTGTAAATTTTGGATTTATAAAATCTTTAAATGGTTCATAACTTAGAAGATTTTTCTGGAGAAATCGTTTATTTTTATCAACGGAAATCTTAGTTAATGCTAATACGAACAATTAAGCCTGCCAATCTGAATTTTCTTAAAATCATAAATTTTTGGCCTTGATGTGTTCAACCGACTTTAACATCTTTGCTTTTTAAAACTAAATAGATCCTATTCAAATTTTTTGAGTATCAAAAGAGCTGAAAAATGATATTAACTCCATTGTTTTATCACCAAAAAGCGCTTTTCTGTTTACAGGAGGTTAAAATTAAGTATATTTCATATATTCAATTGCTTTATAGAAAGTGGAACAGTAGTTCTTAAGTTTTTTCCAGACCGAATTAATATATGTCTTCGGATGGCTCTGTTAATTTATATTCGATTGATGCTAATTAAACATTTTTGTTAAAAAGTAGTATTTTGAATGGCGAAATCAAATGGGGAGATCACAAAATTTTAAATATTTTGTTATAAATCGTTGGCCAAGTATACATTATTAACTGCTCAATAGTCCTTTTTATCAAAACCAAGCATAAAATCAGAAAATAAATCTATTATTGAATTTTATTTAAGAAGAAGATTAATTTTGTATTTCGTCTTTATAAACATATTAACATTATTTTGTTATAAATATATATATATTAATTTTAAAAAATAGATATTAATTTAAAAATAATTATCTTCTAAATTAATTAAACATCTTGAAGTGAGTAAGAAGTTCGTAAGGATAAACAATATTTTGAAAATCAAAATTATAATACATATATCTTGGAAAATAAATTTAATTATAATGTCTTCGTATTTTCATACATTTGATTCTTTAATTAAAATATCAATAAATATGATACTATTGTTTGAGAATAAAAGTTTCAAAAGTATCATGAATATTTAATTTGATTCAAACTCGTCAATTGATAAGGCAAGCTAAAATAACTGCCTTGTTTCTAATGTGTTAAATCCTACGCGAAAGTCCTAGTTTTATTAATTAATTGAATCTCAAGATGATGTAACAATATAATAATTTGAAATTCAATTGAGAGGAGGAGGCTGTGGGTAAGCTAAACCAACGTAAAAAGCGGAAGAAAATTAAATTATTGGTGTACCCAAGGATTTATTGATTAAACTAGAAAATTATGTTAACATTATCAATACTAAAGCTTCACTTTTGATTGATCCTTAATAAAGAAATGAAGTAATAATTGCATTTTAATGGTTTATGTATAATAGAGAGCATTTGAATACTTGTTGTGTTAACCAAAATTTAACTTAATCAATATATACAAAATCATTGAATTGTTTTAGGGACTTGCTAAAAATTCTTCCTGTTTATTTAAGATCTTCGTGGTTTTTATGCCATTAAGTTCTTTAAATCTGTAATGACTTTTTAAGGATTATATATTCATTTTAAGTACAAAATGAGGATAGACAAATGGAATTAACTATGCAATAAGAATTTTTATAAGATGTCGAGGAATTTAAGGTATAATTGGGTGTTGAATAAGCAAATGTATGGAATACAGGAATAGAATATGAAATAACTCTAATTAAAATAATGTTAATGAATTGCCAAACAAATTCAGAAGAAGGAAAAAATTTATTAATAAATATTGTTAAAAATGTAGCTCAATCAGCTTTGGCAATGTCACCTACTGAAGATTTAATCCCAAGTCTTATTGAAGGAGCTAAATTTTTATTTTTACAATACAAAGACAAAGTATTATATCCTTAAGAGGTGTATGCTACTTATTATTTATTCCAAACTCTTAAATGGTCTATTGTAAGACAATTAAAATCTTAGTATTCAGTCTATAATCAGTTGAAATAACTAAAAGATGCATTTTAATAATATATTCTAAATTCAGATAATTGGATCATTCATTATAGTTGGATATCAATGATAATGGATATTTTAGCATATAGACCCATAATTGATAAATTTGAAATAATTAAAGGTTCTCCAATAGAATAATAATCAATGTGGAACAATTTAATTGAAAGTAACTCAATTCTTAGTCTTCCATATAATAGAAATTAAGGGTCTGTAGTGATATTTCAAAATCAAGTAAAATATTTTAACAAAGAAATACTAAATTTAAACGAATTATAGAGTATTCCTAAGTTTAAATTAATTTCAGATTCTCTTTTGAAAGGTTAATTTTCTCAATAAATTAATCTTTGGAATTTTTATAAAGATTTTACCTTTAAAAAAAAGCAAGAAACTACTATAAAGGATTATGAAATAGTTTTACAAAATAATGATTTATCATTTATAGAGTTGTAAATTGAAAGATTTAATTCTTAATTAGATGAATTAGTTTTTCTTGACTAATAATTTTAAGAATTATATACACATTATTTTAACTAATAGGATAAAACATATCTTTAAATCAAATTACTCTAAGATGATTATAATGTTTTTAGAAAATAGTTTTTAGAAGGATATAAATAGGCCTTATATTATCTACTTTTTATCATGGAAAGATCGATTATTGAGTTTGAAAAATTAAAGTTGCTTTTTCCTTATTTTGAAAAATTTGAGATTAAAGATTAAGAAAAATTAAAGAAGATGTTTTACATTATTGAAGAATTTATTAAGGTCAAATTTTAAGCCTTCTAGGAAGATTTTATTTCAAATTTTCTAAAAGTAATTGAGTATTTGAGCTTTCTATCTGAAATTAGTTTATATCCAATAACAAAATAGTAAATTGTAGAAGAAGTGAATTGTAAATTTAAGATTCAAAATCCCTTGAGTTCTAAATAAAATAACGAAAGATCATTAATATTGTAATTGTGTATAATAAAGATAAAGGAATTTTAACAAACTTTTTGTTTCTCAGCATCAAGTATTAAAACACAAGATTACAATATCAAAATTGCTCCTTTACAAATATAAGCTATGTCAAATACTATATGCTCAGGTTAATGGATCAAAGTAATAAGACAATAATTAGTTACTAGTTTTTCAGATAGATTTAGATTGGGTCAAAATAAAGTTACAACTAAAGAGGATATTGAAAATATCTATAGGAATTGTATTTTTAGCCTTTAAATGTTAAAAGTTATGAAACAATTTTGCTAAATCCACTAATACAAAATTAACACATTTGACTAAAACTTAGATTAGGAAAAAAGTTTAGCTATTCAAGAGCAATAAAAGATATATTAAGACTTTAAATTAATGTTAATCAAGTAGTTAGCATAATAAAAGGAAAAATTAGAATTAATTTTGAAATCAAAAGATAGTATTAAGGGTATTAAAGAAAAAAAAAAATAACTCCTTTAATAAATAAAAACAGATTAACAGATGATCCAAAATGGATATGAAAATATTATAAGCTAATAAACAAAATCAATTAAATCGTAGGCTATTAAATTCTTGCAAGAAGCTCAATTTATCGCTTTATAAAATTAGAATGAATATTATGACTTTGAGGCTTTAAACAGTTTAATGAAAAAATATGATAATATTATTAGAGAAATTTAAAATAATTAAGGAGAATTTAATAATAGTTTAGAAGATGAAAAAAAATTGAATTTCTAACATTTGATCAGAAAGAATAAACATTTAGATTTCTGTCATTTTTGTGTTGATAAAGATTTGAAAATGATAAAGGATACTAATAAAGTACTGAAATTGTTAGAACAATTAGTAATTTTAATTATAAATTAACTTTAAGAACCTGGTAATGAAGAAATTGAATCTCATATCAATAACTTCAATACATAATTGTAATAAATAGAAGCTAAATTTAACATTAACAAATCAATTGCTTCTTTTATTGAAAGTTTAAAGGGAAATGGTTAATTAGAGAGTTGCGAATGTATCATTTAAAGTAATTAAGAGATTGATTAATAAAATTAGTAAATTGAACAAGGGAATGATTAATATATTGAGTAAGTTGAATCAACTTTATAAGAAACTTTAGCTTTCTTTTAATTAAAATAATAAAGTACAGATGAAATATCTCAGAATTTAGATCCTTTATACTTAAATATAATAAATAATCTATGTGAACAAGTGACAATAAAAAAGTCAATATTTGATGTATTTGATTTTAACAATGATTATAAAATTAGAGAATGCTTAGTTTATAATTTAATAAAGCTATAATAAGGAATTAAAGAAGACAAAATAGTAGGGTTTTCGTCAAAGCTGA